TTTTTTCCTTGTTGATGGAGTTTTGGCTTTGAGACCATGCTTTAATTTTCCAAGAAATATCCTTTCTTTATCTCTCTAATATTTCATGGAGGACTATAATAATAATTTTTAGGACTATAATAATAATTTTTAAAATTGCCTATTTACACAACCAAGAATGTTTTTATGTTGGTAGCTTTTGATGGAATTCATTGTACCAGGTAGCTGCTCTTGAAGGTGTCACTCACCTACCTTGGCTCTGAGCTGACTGAACCCGCAGCCCAGCCAGGTGCTTGGTAAGGACCCACCAGCTCATTCCTCAAGGGCTGCCACCTCCTAAATGATGATGTGCAAGGGACCTCCTAGAAGTCATCCTCTAAACACGAGTCCAGCAGACAGGAAGACCTGCCTGTTGGTTGGTCATTTCCTCTGACCTCTTCCGTGCTTCTCTGAGAAAAGTGAGCCTGGCCTTTGGTGTGGTTGCAGTGGGTTAGAGAAGCGAGAGAAGGAATCTCTGTCACTTTCTACTGGGGGGACCTTCAGTGAGACAATGTCTCTTTACCTTAGTTTTTCAGCATTAAAGTGGAGATGATATGACTGCATCACATTTATACACACACAGAGCTCTGGTGGCATAGTGGGTAGAGACATTGCTGCCTCCCCAGAGACAGGTGGTTCAAATCCACTAGCTGCTCTGCGAGAGGAAGATGGACCATCTTCTCCTCTGTGACTTGCTGCCTGTGAAAATCCACTGGAGGGGCAGCCCTGACTGGACAGCATACAACAACAACACACATACACAACATGGTGTTGGCGACGGCTCTCCTAGTCAATGGCCGCAAATAGTATGATCTGGAGGTAGACACACTTCAGTCTCTTGTTGGGATTGAGGATATGTTGTTCGTATTGTGAGGTGCCTTAGTTGACTTCGACCCATAGTGACCCTGTGAACAGCAGAGGGAGGGAGTGAGGGAAGAATGAAGAGAGAGGGGAAGGGAGGGAGGGAGCAAACAAAGGAAGACGTGAGAGGTGAGAAGGAAAACGGGGGAAAAAAGAAGGGGCAGGAGAGAAATGAATACTAAAAAGGAAAAGGAAGATGATTTTTAACATTTTCTCTTTTATTTATTAATTTCCAACGGGGAAATGTTAAAGAGTTCACCTCATTGTGGTCTATATATTTGAGGGGCTCCTTTTTATGGGCTGCCTTTCTTATGATCACATTGTCTACATTGAAAGGGATGTCCATAGACGGACAGCTTTCAGAAAGTCTCCGAATGGTTACCCTCCAATCACACGGTTGTTCTTGCTCCAGAACTCAGCATTATGTTCCAGTTCTGGAAATACTTAATATATGGGTGAAAATAGCAAAATGGGAGTTCATGTTATGCCTTGAAATTTGCATCCTGCAAAGTTGATTCCCTTTAGCAGATTGCTTGATTAATAAGTGAAATGTGATTACTTGACTCATTATGGATCTGAGGGGAAAGCAAAACATTTGGAGCGAGAAAGATCATTACAACATAACTGAAGGCCATTTTGACAATTATTTTCAACAGTGAGGTTTTAGTCACTGATGGTCCCTATATACTCGGTCTGTCAGTTGGAGAAGGAAGATGGACAGTGGCAGGAGGGGGCTAAGAGGACAACGGGGTGCGCCTGAGCAAGATTGCATAGAGCAGGAGGGAGGGGATAGTGAAGTTGGGGCCACGAGGGAAAAGTCAAAGTATCTCGGTTGCAAACATTAGAACTGCAGCATCATTAAAGAAGGAAAATTTCTTTACAGAGGCCTAATGGCTGAGAAGGTAATTTCAGAAGTTGAAGTGAAAACATGAAATGTTTCAAAGATGTTTTAAGTCAAATGGCCGTCACTTTAGCCTTACCTGCCCGTTTCCGGCGTGTGTGCTGCTAGGATTTGCTGGGCCAAGCTTTAGGGCTCCCCGCCCCCACCTAGAAAAATAGAAGTTCTTTAACTGTCTTTTTAATCCCAATTGAAAAATTAAAATGTCCTTCTAAATGTTTCTGGTGGAGTCCGAATCCTTGTTCAGATGCCCCACACCAAGAGCATCCCTCTGTGAGGGGCAGCTGAATGGCTCTGCTTCTGTTTTGACAGATAGCACAGCCCTCTCAATGCACTTCACCTGCTTCAGGCTCAGGAGAGGGTTTTAGGAGAGGATTTGCTCCTGGATTATCTCTGAGGCTCAGAAAAGCTGCAGGCTCTTGCTCATGTCGTGTGCACCACTGAACAGCTGCAGCGGGGATAAGGAAGCCTGCAGCCCCGCTCTCATTCACTCAGAACAATATCAGACGCGGTCCTCCTTGCGCGCTGGCCCTCCCGCACCAAGCAGAAGAACCTCTGGGCTGCCCGGGCCTGTCCATCATACGAGCCACTTCTCCACCACGGCTAAATGCCAACGTTTGTGGCCTCTGAGGAGCTTCTAGTGGCTTCTCTGAAGCATGTCTAGCACCACTCATTTAAAACCCAGCAAAAATCACAAACCTGGCTTCCTTTGAGTCAGTTCCAACTCAGTGACTTCAGGGGACGGAGTAAAACTAGGGCTTCCGAGTCAGTGAACTTTTATAGAAGTAGACTGCCTCATTCCTCCCCTCTCTGGCAACTTAGTGATAAGACATTGCAGTGTCAATGCAAAGGTATGTGGTTTGAATCCACCAGCTGCCCTATGAGAAAAAGATGGGCAGTCTCCTTCTGTGTGTTTACTACCTCTGAAAACCCACTAGAGGGTCAAGCTGCTAATACAGAACTCTTTAACTACTGGGAGCTCTGGTGGCACTGCCCATGGGCAGGTGTGCTAGGCCACAGGTGACACCTGTCCAGCACTCTGAATTCACTGACTGCTGTGAGGGAGAAAATGGCAATCTCCTCCCATGTGATTTTAGCCTCGGAAAATCTGCTAGGGGGTCAGCTGTGAATCAACTTGACAGCAGTGAGTTTGTGAGCACTTGAACACTGCATCACCAGGGTTCTTTGTAGAACCTTCCACTTCTGCTAATCAGACTGGTTTAATGATGGGATATAAAAAGTGGGTCTACTTTGGACATTTTATTGAAGCATGTTGCCTTCTCATCTGTACAAGGACACTGAATCTCTCCGAAAACCAAACTTTTAAAAGAGATCCAGTCCATTTCAAGCCACAGGACCCTTGAGTTTGCCCCTCTGGACTGAGTTTGTCTAATTTCCACTGTGGCCTTTTTTAACATGAGCTCTCTTCAGAGCCACGATGGCACCTATCTTTTTCATCACTCAGTCTAGATTTAGCACAGTCTACACCCATCTGTGGAGTCCTGCAGTCTCGTGGGTTATTAGAGAGCACTGGACTTGAATGGTTCTAAAATGGAATATCCATTGATACTCTTTGGGCTGACTGGAGACCTGAACCAGTGCCCACTTGGTCTGCTGGGCCTACCCACCCATTCTGACCACAAGTTCTTATGTTCCCTGACGCTGAAATCCATCCCAACCAAAAATGGCCAATCATTTCACCGTCCATCAGAAGGGAGCAGATAACGCGTTCAAAGTTTTAGAAAAGTGTCTCAATGAAATGCTTAAATGAGGAAGAGCTTTGGACCTCCCTGTTCTCTGCACGATCTCAGAGAACCCTTCTGGCTGTAAAATCTTTGGCCTTTTCAAGTTCCATTGCACAGAAAATGGCAGAAATTCATTGCAAAGATGAACCAGACATTTGGTAATGATTGCAGGATGAGCAAACTGAGTAAATCGAGCTGAGTCAACAGCTATTTATTAAGTACTGAAGGAAAGTACCTCCGCTGAGGGGCTGGAGATGGACCTGCTTTGAGCTCACGGATGCTTCACCTGAGCGAGCGGTTCCAGAGGGAGGAGAGAGCGCGCGTCCCAGGTGACAGTCACAGCCATCAGGCAGCCCCTGCTACTTTAGAGGGCTCTGCACCCTCCATAATTCTCAAGTCAGGAGGGACCCTGCATAACCAAGCAGGCTGATTGAGTTCAGGAATAAAGTTCAGAGGGACCCTGTTGTGTGTGGACCCCAAGTTGGTTCTGACTCATAAGGGTTCTGTGTAAACAGCAAACAAGCCATGGACTTGGCCTTCCTCGTAAGCGTCACTATATTTGAGCCCATTGTTTTTGCCCCTATGTCAGCCCATCTCATCGAGGGTCTTCCTTTGTATATCAGACCCCCTCGGGAGGTTCTTCTCAAAGGGCTAGATTAACAATGGCTTGCACAGTTAGTCCCCTCCGAAGCCCTAGTGCTGGCCCCAGGCTGTACAGACTGTGAATGTTCACCGAGTACATGACATTTTAAATGCCCTCAAGTCCCAGTTCTGTTTGTTACTGCTGCTACATGCTGTCCAGTTGTCTCCAACATGAGTACAACTGAAGATGCAAGCTGACCTGCGTGCAGCTGGGGAACGCTGTGCGATGGGCGGTGGGCATCCTGCGAGGCTCTGCGGTGCTTCACGCCAGGGCTGCACTCAGTGAGTCAGCCCATCTCCTCAGGCTCTTCCTCTTTGGAGAGGACCCTCTCCTTTTTCCAAGCATGATGCCCCTTCTTCAGGGACATCAACTGGTTCCCTTTCTTAATTTTTATAAGTTAAGAAACTTCCTTAAATTTTCTGCACAACTCTTAAGTTTGGTACCCCTCTTAAGTTTCCAAACCTTGTGAGCCAAAGTTAACATACTTTGGTTTGGGGCACGCTGTGAAATACCATCCTGGGGGAAAGTGGAGGGTCAGAGAGAGCGAGGGGACCTTGTCTGTTAGGACTTCGGCTGTTAACATGAGAAGTATCACGCTAGATTTGAACTTCTGCTGGTGTGGAGCAAGGTGGAGTGACACGATGACTGTAGAACTGAACGTGAGTATATCAGAGATTGCAGGAATGGAAACATTAAGTTGTTTATCTTCTGAATAAAAATAGTGCTTTTGTTATTTGTTGTGAAAATATTTCCTGGCATTATGATTCAGCATAATTTCAAAACAGTGTCTTCACTTCATCATTTTTTAGATGATCCTTTTATGCTTTTTCTTCAGGAAGGTGATGTCTGGCCGAACACTTCAGCTGAAATCAGTGTGTGTTTCAACCCTGTTGAAGCGAGGCTGTACCAACAGACTGTTTACTGTGAAATTTCAGGTACAAACTTCCTCTGTTTGGTAAATTCAGCACATTAAGTGCTGTGTGTGTGTGTGTGTGTGTGTGTGTGTGTGTGTGTGTGAGAGAGAGAGAGAGAGAGTACAGGACACCAGTAGTACAATAATGGAGCCACGCTGTACACCTCTTCTTTCTTTCTCGAAAACACCAAACTTTATAGTGCATTACAGTGATGGAGTAGGGAATGGGTGGGTAAAATGGAGAGCTTTCTTGCTTCTTGATTCTTATAGCAGTTAATTTTAGTACCTGAATCATGCTACTTCCCCTCCCACATTGTGCTATTTAGCTTCCCTTTTTTAAAAATTTATTCATAATTTCAATGAAAATCTACAGAGACTTTGGATTTCCATTCATTCATTGTTGCACTTTTCTCCCCTCCCAACCTTCCCCCCAGTACATTACCCTCTTGTAAAAGTAAAATTCTTTCATTGTTTTACAATCCCTCCACCCAGGTCCACTCCACTAGACAGCCTTTGCCTCTGGACTCCTGTCATGCCAAAAATACCTAATAAAATATCCCTCTTAAACAGTTGTCTCCCTCATCTGTTTCAATGCAATATACATTATTGAACCCATATCTTTCTCAGTCTCCCCCCAAACCCAAGGCCAGTCATGTTTTACAACAGTGACACCATGCAGTATATGTCTTTTTGTGACTGAGTTATTTCACTCAGCATAATGTCCTCCAGGCTCACCCATTTTGAATAATATTGCATGAGTTCCTTGGTTTTCATTGCAGCGTAGTATTCCATTGTGCGAATATATCACAGCTTCTCTATCCATTCGTTTGTTGATGGTTTAGCTTCCCTTTTTAAACAATACTAAAACACCCTATCACAATAATGCACGTAGACAAGATGACAACCTGAAAGTGTACAACCTAGGAAGAGGGTGGTCACGTAGGGTGGCATCCTGTTTGTGTCAGAGAATTGACTACATACAATGGAATAATTGAGCGAATACAGGAATGTGCTGAAGATAATGAAAGCCAGTGTTTTCTTTTGTTTCATTCTGTGTTTCCTCTTGGAGGAGAAAGGTACAAATATGGAAAGACGGAAGTTAAGATGAACCCTTTGACTGGAAATGGAGGTTTTACTGTGGAGTCATAGTTTTTAACTTCTTGTTGTTGTGTGCTGTGGAGTCAGAACGAAGTCATAGCTGACCCTCCAGGTCGTTCTCAGAGACAGTAGATTGTGTGGGAGGAGATTGTCCATCCTTGTCCCGCAGAGCAGCTGGTGGATTTGAACCATGTGTCTTCAGAATTGCAATGAAGTTTCTTACCACTAGGCCACCAGAGTGCCCTATTTCATTTGTAGATATAAAGAAATATGCATGTAAATGTGCTAATATGTGTATGTGCATATGTATGTATGTTTTCTAGCTAGATCCATGGAACCAGTGAAACCCTAATAGCACGCTAAGTACCATTCTGTATGAAAGAGAAGAAGACCTCCAACAAGGAGGATTGACATGATGACAACAGCAGTGGGCTCAGGGTGCCAGAGATGAAGAGGATGGCACAGGATAGGGCTGGGTTCTGGTCTGTTGTTCATAGGGTCATTGTGGGTCATAGTCAACTCAACAGCACCTAACGACAACAACTGCTAAAGGAGTCTAAGAGAACATGCTGATTGTAGAACTGAGGCAGGGAAAGACAAGCCAAGCCTGGAATACCCTCTTGGTTTTGGAATAAGGAAGCAGTCAAATAACAAAAACAGATCAGATGACACAGAAGTCAGCAAAGGGACTCCTGTGGAATCTCTGAGTCCATCCAGCAAATCTTTACCATTTGGCAGCTGCCAGCGTGACACATCGGACTTACCTGTATCAGAAAGAAAAGCAGAAAGTTTTACTGAAGGATGAAACATGTCAAGAAACTGGGAGATACACAAGCATCTAAGCAGGCTGCTGCCGCGTTTTCAGTTGCAGAGAGAGAACGGTTTTTATTAAATGAGACAAACAGTAGGAGTATGTGTCCCAGGCAGGCACAGAAAGGGGAGGGGAAACCTTTGTGAAAAGTTGTAAGAGTTTGTTAAGCTGTAGTGAACTTTAATATCAGTGATATCCTGAGGTTTGTTTAATGAGATGTTCTGTCAGGCACAATTAAGTCATTACATTGTCACAGCCGTACCTTGCCTTTCACTCTTTCTTAAGGTAACTAGTTTATGCTTTTATGGAATTATAAAGAGATGGAATGAAACGAAGTTTTCTGCAAATGAAGTCTAATATGGAGGGAGTCAGGAAATTATCAGTGGGATGTAGCTAATTTTTTGGGTTGAGTTTTTGTGTGTGTATGTATGTGTGAGAGAAAATTTTGTACTTGGAATTAGCCCACTGGACTCAGTTTAGATGATTCCAATTTTGTTGGCAACATCCAAGGCATCATAGTCAGGAGCAAGTCGAACATAGGCCTTCTTCTCTCCATCAGGCCTAATCAAGGTGCTGACCTTGGCCACGTCAGTGTCACAGAGCTTCTTTACAGCTTGCTTGATTTGGTGCTTGTTAGCCTTGACATCCACAGTGAACACAAGTGTGTTGTTATCTTCTGTCTTCTTCATGGCTGATTCGGTGGTCAGGGGAAACTTGATGATGGCATGGGGTCAAGCTTATTTCTCCTGGAGGTGCTCTTTGGGCGTATTTGGGCTGCCTTCGGAGACTCGGCACGTTAGGCTGCCAGAAGCAAGGTGGGTGATGTGCAGATCATTTTTTGTGTGATTGTGGATGCCTTTCAAGACTGCCTTCTTGGCCTTTAACACCTTGGCTTTGGCTGCAATTTTGGGAAGGGCAAAGGTTTCCTTCTTCGCTTTTCGGTGTTATCATCGTAGAAAGGCAGTTAATAGGTTTTTAAAGCCTCATCTTGATTGCAGAGTTATATGACAGCTGCAGGATTTGATCTGTGCTTAACATTATCAATTCTATTTTCCAGACTCATGTCACCCAAGTATTGTTCCTAGCACAAGGAGTGCAGATATTCTTTTTTTTAAAATATTTTTTTTATTGGGAAAAACATATTGGGGGTACAAGGAGGTGAGGGTTGGGGGCAGAAGGGTGAGGATGGGCCAGGATGCAGTTGCAGAGCTGCACAGTTTGGTCAGTGTGGGGAGCAGGTGAAGGAAATAATGAGGGTCCAGTGGAGACCAGATGCTACAGAGGAATGACAAGCATTTTCCAATAGTAATTAAACCAACTGTCTTATTGATTTGGGAATTGGATGCCAACTCTCTGGCTTCCTCATGCTGAACGGGGCGTAGATATAAAGGGGGGAAGGGAGGACGCTTTATCACCTTACTGGTGGTCTTGGGTTACAGCTGCTTGCCTTCTTGCTCCTGAGGGCCACGACGGGTCGCCCCGAGCCGGGGGCCAAGCGCAGCCCTCCCCGGGCAGAAGGCCATGACGGCTCGCCCCGGACAGAGGGCCGAGGGCAGCCCACCCTGGGCAGAGGGCCGCGACGGCTCGCCCCAAGCCGGGGGCCGAGGGCAGCCTGCCCCGGGCAGAGGGCCGCGACGGCTCGCCCCGAGCCGGGGGCCGAGGGCAGCCTGCCCCGGGCAGAGGGCCGCAACGGCTCGCCCCGGGCAGGGGGCCGAGGGCAGCCCGCCCCGGGCAGAGGGCCGCGATGGCTGAAGTAGTCTTTTTTTAAAAAAGAAGAAGAAAGTGTGTGTGTGTGTGTGTACCGTCAAATTGGATCTGACTGGTACAGGAGACTGCCCCTCCTTCTCCAGCAGAGCACGAAGTAGAGTCTGGGGTGTTTTTTTTCCCCCCCAGATGCCTGTCGGGGCCTGGGTTTCAGCTGTCCACACCACAGCAGTGGACAACGAGCTTAAAGCCCCTGATGGCTCTGGGCACCGACTCTCACCAGTGGCTATGGATGAAGTCACAGGCGATTTTCAGCCAGCGCCGAGGAGTGCAGATATTCTTAACAAATACCAGTGGATTTTCAGGCCAAAAGGGTGAAAGTATGGTATGAAACGGGATTTACATCCAATCCAAATATCTTCGCCTGCCCCAAGTTTATTAATTACTTAGGGAGAAAAACAAACAATCCAATTTGCAGTGGAGAAACCTGGCTAGTGTGGTTTTCATGAATACCAGGGCTCCTAGCCAGATTGGTCTGGTTTGACTCTGGGCTGAAAGCCTGACTCAGGATATCTGGGATGAAAACTCAAGTTCTCAGCAGGACGTGGAACCCTTCCTGGGCATCGTGGATCCCCTGCTAGGAGGCAGTGAGTATACAGGACCCCTCTGTGATCAAGAGAATAAACCTCGCTGCTTCCCAAACAAACCCGAAGTGAAGAAGAAAGCAGACTGGCTGTCGTGTAGTCTTCAAAAGTGTCCAGATAATTAAACTCAAGACAAAATCGAAGAGCTGTTGCTACTTGAAGGTGACATTGTACTCGCATCAGTGACCGTAGGAGGTTGACAGTGTGGGGAACATCTGGTGAGGATGGCTCTATGGACAAAGGACTTTCTAGAAACTTTGTGCCATCTAGAAACTGTCCTGTAATTTAGAAAATGTGCAGAATTTTTAAAATATCAATAAAGTATATAGCTAGTAAATAATCTAGAGCTAAGCAGTGATCTGTTTACAGAAGTGGCAAGTTGAACTGTTCATTCCAATAGATTCTCTTGCTCACTCTGCTTATAAGGCTGTTTTCTGAGTTACTAACTCCATGTATTTTCTGAGTCCTCAGTATGAAGGAGGAAGGTTTAATTCACTTAGGTGCTTCCTCCCCTCCTACCTGCCCAGCTTCTCAGTGGGTCTGGAGGAGACTCTGGTACATCAGCATCCAAACAGAGGCTGGAACCACTCCAGTCACCCTCAAGCCACAGGTGGTGGGATCCCCTCCCAGCAGCCCCCCAGGGAGGTCTGCCTGGCTGTTACCCAGTGGGGGCTGGCAGCTCTCCAGGAAGTTCCCAGACACTGCACAACCAGTTGTATTTATCTTTTGTTTCATTTGCAATTCTGAATTCTGCCACAGAACTCA